ATGGATCTTTTTTTGTTTAAGACAACAAAAGTATTTTAATAAATATGACTAATAGGGCCAGATGACTGTATAAAAATTTACTCTTCATTATTTTTTCAGCAGTATATTTATTGACTCAAACAACGAAAGAATTTAATTCTTTGCAACATTTAAAGCATCTTCTCAATTGGGAGTATATGCCTATTTCTAACGGTTTAGAAAGTAGCTATTGGAACACTATTAAAGAGGGCATGTTGTATAAGGATTGAATGTCTAAAAGAGAGGTACGACATTTTAAGCTCTTCTTTTCAGACTATGTTTAAAAGACTGTTTTGAATTTCTTCTTTCTGGATAAATGTTTTTCTTTCCAATTTATTCCGGAATGAGTTCAGGCCTCAGAGAAAAATTCAAATTTAAACCTTAAAGTCTTTTTCCTCGACAGAAAACCTATTCTAATTTTGAATCTGCATGGATGAATGGCTTCTGAAGACGTCATCCACCGGATTCTTATTCCGCCTGGTTGTTTGTTATTATTTTTGTATTTTTAACTCTTTCACAATTAAATCTTCCCTTATTTCGTATTTATATCTTTGTACATATTGTATAATATTTTGTATCAATACATATGAAAACCGCATTCTGTATTACAATCTGACTTTTCTACGCACTTTTTATCGGTCCCATGTGTCGTGTAATTTCTGGATATTACTGTTACTGCATTTGACACTAGCTGTTGTTCAAAACATTTATGACAATAGAACTCAACTGAATGTGCAACGCTATAATATTTTTCCTTCCAGCGATTTAACGCCATTTTCTACCACATATTCAGCTATTAAGGAAACGCAATGAAATTAAGTTATTGATCACTTCCGGACCGTCACTCTAATAATATAAACAAACCATTGTATGCACTTGATTGAAACCTTCATTTTCCCAGCACTTTCTGTTACGAAGATGCGCAACGTGAAATTAAGGTTTTTACAAAAGCAAAAATCTCCGTCTTAGTCAGCAGTTCGTTAAAACGGCTGTAAACGCGATGTCTTTGTCTATTGTCTGACAAAGGGAAGTGATTAATTGTCATTGATCAAGCTCTCTTCAACCAAACGTCAAGTATTCCTTGTCCTTTGTTTTCGAAGGTTTCAGGGGAACCGTCTGCGTTTTCTGCAAGCTCCCAGGTTTATGAGTTGCTTTTTTCTTCTAAAACATAGTATTTTGAATATTTTAGTATTTTAAATCAATTGTGTGTCTTATCTGTCTATGTGTAAATCCAACTAATGTTTAAATTTATTGTGTGGTAAAGAAAACGACTGCGATTACTGTGATTTATTATGATTTCATGAACTTATCTTTAAGGAGTTATATCTGTTATCTATGCTGGAGCTCAAAGAAAAAAGCAGCTGTATTGTATTTTATTTGATATAAAAGAAAAAGGGGAGGATGACAAATGGAAACACGAAAAATAAAAATAATTTCTTTCAGTCTTTCTAAACTAGTCTTCTTTTAATTTTTATTCACTTTTGTTAAACTTGACCTGATCCATGTTTGTAAACGTGGAATTCTGTAATCAATTTTTCATTCACTTCCTAATGAATTAAAGTTCAGAAATTTGGAACAGTTATGTGTTTTTTAATGAAACACTCTATTTTATTGTTTTCATAGCTGAAATATCAATTAACTAATTAATTTAATAAAAAAATTCGAAAAAATTAGCATCACCTGGTTGTGAATCTGATAAAACTGAAAACATAAGTCCATAATATTTATAATAAAGAATCATAATTTAAATACTGAGAAGCAGAAATTAATTACAACAAAAACTTCAATTTTTTAGTACTCTAATAAAAGTGTGTTTTTAACAAATTTATTATACTCTTAAATGAAAATATTTTATTGTTCCTTCAGGTTTAATTTTAATTCATCTTTGTTTGACATAAAAAAATAATTAATTTGTGATATCGTACAAAAATATTTATTGTTTACTAAGCATCTTATTTAGAACTAGCTGTTATGCCCGGCGTTGCTCGACATGAAATTACCTTCATGTCTAATATTTTTAATGTAAAAACTACTTTTGTATAGAAAATTATGATATTCAAAATCCTTTTATCGCCTGTAACGTTTTTTAATTAAAATGAGAATATCAATTGAACCAGACGATTTTTAAAAACCGCCGATAGCTAATTTTCTCAATAAGATATTAATATTTGTTTTCTAAGTTCATCAAATTTTGTTCATAAATCATGCAGTTTAAGAAAGGTTTTAACGAATGTTTTGGGACAATTAATTACATAGATAGAACATTTTTTTATTAATAAAAAGCATTAAAATAAACCAAATCAATTAGTTGTTCCCGTATAAATTATGAATCGTCTGCTTTTAAACTTTTCTTTTAGTCTTCTTCCAGAATTCTGTTAATGTGTTCTAGCAACAGTTCTTCGTCTGTATTCTTTTCTTCACCAATAAAAAAATTGTTACAAATTGTGAATTTTATACACAATTTAATTCTTGGAAAAATTATTAAAATGAGGGTAACGAATTGAAAGGAAATGAAACTTGCATCACTGAAAAGCTAATATTTTAACTTAATATAGTGTAAAAATAGTTTTTGTGAGATAATATTTTCGAAAAATATCACGGAAAATGCCAAAATATTGCTTAATTTTAAATTACCTGAAATTTTAATTAACTTTTTGTCTTTTAAAAGTTGACAGTGATTTTTCTCTTCTTATATAATATATTTATAATAATAAAAAACATCAGAAAGTAAAGGTATATTTGTTCAAAATCTAACCGTTGCCTTGCAACGGAGTATCTATAAATTTGCTTTATTTCAAAATCGTCTGCATGTAATTAATTATACATTAAATTTTGAAAAATTAATACAAATTGAAGGAAACATTTCATCGGTAGAAAATTGATGTCATTGAAAAATTAAAATTTTGAACTTTAAGATGGTATAAAAATATATTTTGTGGGATAATTTGCTTCTAAGTTACTGCGGAAAATCGGTTTCGGTTAATTTCTAATTAACTGACTGTTTAATTATTTTTTGCACTTTGAAAAGTTGATAGGTGTGTTCCTCTTGTCTTAAAAAACAAGTGTCCAAAATTTGGTTAAAATCAGTCCAGTGGTTTAGAAGGAGATTTGGAACATACACACATACATATCCACATGCATACCCACTTTGACTTTTATTTATATTAAGATAATTGCTAGTTTTAATATTTTCATTTTGCTTGCTTTCATGTATTATTTCAAAGTAATGTAGCATTTTTTACAAAAGGAAAGTTTTAAACAAACTTCCATCCATTCAAGCTGTTTTTCTCCTTTATTTCGCAAGTCAGCAAAGGCATGATCTGATTAAAATTCTGCATTTTATTAGCATGCATTATAAACTTTGTTTCATTATTACTAAATATCGAATAAAAAGAAAGTGAAATATATTGTTCTACATAATTAAAACTCGCCAGGGGATTACCTCGAATACAGGGATGAGAAGTTAGTAGACAAGCGTTAGGTTCTCGGTTCTAACGTAACATATTTAGAAGAGGAAATGATTGACGTTCTACACGCGAGGACGAATCATGCCTCTACATCAGAGGACTTGTTCCATGCAGCGTGCCATAAAGTTAGCCAGTTTTCAGAACCAGTTTCAGTTCGAGGGTTTGGATATTGACGACCACTTTATAGCAGATTTGACATTATGATGCATTTTTAAAATATATCAGTCAGTCGTCCACAGCACATTAAAAAAACTTCACAACCCAAGTACATGCCCACCCAAACTCATGTTGGTACTTGAATGCAAGAAATATGTTCCATCTACTATTTGTTTGCTTGTTTATTTTAGAACTGCTTTTGATTAATCTACTTCAGATATGACAATATTAAGCGATGCTTGTTTATTTTATAACTGCTTTTGATTAATCTACTTCAGATATGACAATATTAAGCGATAAATTCCATTGAAGTTTTTAATTATTTTAATCCTAGCCATACCCGCACGGCGTTGCCCGTGGCATCATGACTTCAACAAAAAAATACTCACAATGACATAAAATAAAGTTTTGAAAACGAAATCAAAGCAAAAAATGAACATATTATTGATTTTGCTGAATTACTTTATAATTTTATAATTATTTATAGTTTAATAATTTATAATTACTTATTGTCTAATAATCTATAATTACTTACAGTTTAATAATTTATAATTATTTATAGTTTAATAATTTATAATTACTTATAGTTTAATAATTTATAATTATTTATAGTGAAGTTTTTAATTATTTTATGATTATTCATTATTTCAAGATCTTAATTTTTATCTCTTGCTTTCAAGATCACCTTCTTCGGATGACCATTCGTATTCGTGCACCGAGTCTACCGGGAAGATGAAACTAGTGAATGTGTCCTCTGGTCATTCGAACGCAAACCATAGCCTGCACTGCACGTCAAATGTCACCTCTTTCACCGCATACGCATCGACACTACAAGACAACAATATAACACGATGCACTGAGTCCGGTTTTCCGATACATGGCAGACGGTCAATGAAATTTTAGACGTTACTTATGGATCACAGGTATTTCTTGATTATGCATTATCTGCAAAATATGCAGTTTGTGAGAAAGCTTCTTCTTGTCTTTCTTATTTAAAAATTTTTGGGTTAAGTATAAAATCAAGGAAATCTCTAAGACATAGTTTTTGCAGTTAAGAAAATATGTGACATTTTTATCCATATCCTACCACCTTGAATAATTGAAATCTTTTAAGTGGTTGCTTGCGTTTCAGTAGATGCATTATCGCAGATATAAATTCCGAACGCTAACCATTTACGCCACTGGGGACAAAGGGTGCTATTTTTATACACATAATTACCGAAAGTTCTGATAAATAATAATAAAAAATGCGTCTTTATTTAATAATCCTCAGCTAATGATATGCATAGAATAAACATGAATGAGTTCACTTTTACATACCGAGAGGCAGCTTAAACAAAGCAATGGCTAAACGAAGCACTTCCATGGCGAGGCTCGAACTCGCAGCCTCGGCATTACTCCCTGGCATTGCCGTATAAGTGCCGCGCGTTAACCAATTGCGCCACCGGGAACTGTTGTTATATACAAAAGTATTAAAAGTTCTGATAAATAATTTGAAAATAATAATACAAATTGAGCCTTTATTTAATAATCTTCGGCGAATGACATGCGTCGAATTAACACGATCAGCGCAGTTTTACCATACCGGTAGTTATCTATACCAAAGCAAAGCTAAAAGAAACACTTCCCCAAGTGAGGTTCGAACACAAAGCCTCGGCATTACTCGCAGATACTGTCGTTTAAATACCGGGCGCTAACCAATTGCGCCCACTGGGGACGCAGAATGGCTACTTTTGCATTAGAATTATATACAACAGAAACATTTTTTCTCAAATATATCTAATCAGAAATATTTGACTTAATAATATAAAATTTAAAAGCAAATTATAACGGCTGGAACAGAAAGGTTAATATCGACCTCTTATTTTTGGCATAATATTTTCTATAATAATTAAATATAATATATTGGAGGGGAAATTACAGCAAGGTAACATCAAATTGACGAAATGGGGGGTGACAAAATATGGGTTTGTGCACAGAAAGGTATTATTAAGCTTGGTTTATAACATGATACAACTGGTAAACTGTTGCAGACGATCATTACTTGCAATTTTAAAATGTAAATAAATTGATTCATATTCTCTGAAATTCAAGAAAAAAACACTAATTTCCGTTTCGTTGTTGGAATAATTATTTGCAATTTTGCAAATGTAGTACTCACCTCACGATAATACTCAACATATTTGTTAATTGCACATTCTGATATCAAAATATTGATATTTGGTTCTGAAAAGAGTTCATAAAGCGGTTTATTAGGATATAACTCAAATTGCCTATATGATATGAATTTGAATAAAATAATATTTTCAAGAAACAAGAAAATTCTAATTTCCTTTTAATAGGAAATAACTAAACAACAAATGCCGTTTTCAGCAATATTAGCAACAGTATGTTGATAACAATTTTTTAGATTTAAAAATGACGCCATACATAATCAGATTCCTTCAGCTCCTTTTACTTTCTCGTATACGAAGTATACAAAGAGAAAGTATTGTAATCGTCAAAAAATTCGAACTCGAGATTTTGACGGATCTCCACGTTTTAGACCTCCCTGAGTCCGAAAAACACAATTTTGGAATTATGTCTGTATGTGTGTGTGTCTGTCTGTGAACACGATAACTCGAAAACTATTAGAGCTACGGGGATGAAATTTGGTATGTGGTCTTTGAGCATAATTTGTAGGTTTCTATCAAATTTTGAACAAAATCCGTCCACGGAAAGTCTGTCTGTTTGTATGTCCGCGGTCATGTGAACGCTATAACTCAAAAACTTGAATAGCTAAATGGATAAAATTTGGTACACAGTTTTATCGTTATGAATGTAGGTCCGTATAAAAGTTTGGGCCAAATCCGTCAAAAAGAGGCGTTCAAATTGCATATTCAATTTCTTTTAATCCGATTCTCATGCGCATGCGTATTGGTAGCAATCTGTTATTGCTGCAAATTTTATTTACAACAAAAAATAATGTTTTCAAACAACAATTGTTAACAATTTTTTTATTGTTGTAAATCAAACCTATCTCATTATTTCAACAAATCTTTTATTCACGCGCTTTTGCAATTGTTATGACTGTGGTAGTATAAATTGTTTTCTTGGGAATTCAATTCCAAAGCAGAATTTTCGATTTAGTATTCATTGCATTGCCTATTTTATCGCGCCTGCTTCAAAGTAATATTTTTTTGAAACGTGGCAACAGATATTTGATTTCAGGTTTGTTTGTTTTTTTGTTTTACTTTCTCGTATACGAAGTATACAAAGAGAAAGTATTGTAATCGTCAAAAAAATTCGAACTCGAGATTTTGACGAATCTCCACTTAGAAAGTATATGAGAAAGTTTAGGGGAGACCACTCCCGCTGGTTTTTAATGTCTTTTCTCTTTAAATATCCTTAACAAGTTTTTCTTCTAAGATTGAACCTATTTACATATGATAAAAGATATATACAAAATGCAATTAGCTTCAGAAAGGTACTGATATGCTTATAAGTAAGTGAATTACAAAGACTAAAGGTGAAAAATATAGCTTCGCTTTTACATTCAATAATTATTCCCTATTGATTTATTGCATTGAAAGTTGAATA